AAAAAAAAAAAAAAAAAAAAAAAAAAAAAAAAAAGAACTTCAATTTCATAGAACTGAAGTGAGGTAAGCAGTTTTTTCATCAGTTCACAGATTAGGGTAAGATTTCCCAAAATTTATTGTTGGTTTTAAGTGACTTAAAACAAATATCAAACTGTGTTCCTAATTCACTGTATTGTGTGCACTTATAAAAAGCATCTTTTTTTTTTGACACATTCATCAGTTAGTTTTGCTGCCTCTTGAACTAAATATTTGCAGTTCTAAGTCTATTTGCCATAGAAAATTCTTCCAATAGCAAAATTATAATTAGTTGAATAAAAATAGAAAAAGCAATAACAACTTTAACAGAAATTCACTATGCTAGTTAAAAAAGTTATACAACTAAAACTTTGTACATGTAGGTCAGTCAGCAAATGATAATTTAGGTGAATGATAAGAAACCCTGTAAGAAAAATTTTGGAAAATAATTTAAGTGTCAGGTGTAATATTCCAGATAAATAAAGACTTGCATTATTATGAGTAAATTTTAATCACAGTTACACTGTTCAGTTTCAAATTCAATTTGCAGAAACAAAAAACAAATACAAGATATCGCTGATGTAAAAAGATCAACAAGATCAACAGGGAGAATCTTATATGAAGAAAAAACTGCTGTAGCTATTGATAATTTTACATCTCATAAGCATTTTTACAGCTTCTCTAACTGCTAGGCTTATATTCTATTGGAAGAATGTAGAAGTAACGCAAAAATACGATCTAAATAATTCTAAGGGATAGATAAACAAAAAGAAAAACTCTTTTGATAAAATCTAATAGAAAGTTTTACTTACGGTACGTTTAGCATTGTCAACTTTAAAGTCATATATTCATTTGGCAGCCAAATATCTGTCCACAGCAGCAGTCGGTAAGATACGATTTTCAATAACAAAAGCAAAAATTTTTTGAACAATAAAATTAAGTACAAAAAATAAACTGAGGTATTGAATCCATGCCCATTTTAATAGTTCAAATAGCCCTGTTCTATAGATTAACCGTTGTTCAGGAATATTTACTTCTAAGTAAAAGGTAAACCCTCTTGTCCCTTCTTCTGATGATGAAGATGCTGTTGATGACACTGAAGGCGAAGACCAAATGACAACTTTTCTTAAAAAAAAAAACAAATGTAGGCTAAACTCATTACAAAGACTCCTTTTTTTATAGATAAATTTTCTAACTTTTACAAAAAATAGATATTTTTTTAAAAATAGTATTGAACAAAAGCAAAAAATCTTTTCCGAAAGTCTATCTTATATCGTTTTTTAGTAGTAATCCAAAACAGTTCAACGATTTTATTTGTGTCAAAGCTTTAGTGAATTACCTCTTCAGATGCGTAGTAAAATTACGTAAACTATAGCGCATCCGAATATTCCTTTGCAGATAATGCGTAATATCTGTCGATGATTCATTCATTAGATTGCCATCAAAATTGTTGAATGTACCCTGGCTGGGCAATGGTACCAATTGATCCAAGTATAAACTACCAAAAATATCTAGACGAGTTGCATTCGCTTGACTTTTTACTTCAGACATCAGCGCCACTTCCATCTGAAATGCGTAATTTGGAGTGGCTAAGAAAGTTACTGGAATTATCAAAATATAAAGTTCAGTAACAAATCTATGTCTTTTTCTTAAAAGAAGAACAAAGATAAATAGTATTAATAATAACAGTCTTATCCAGTATCCGCCTTGAGTTAGCATTTTTGCCTATATATATATATATATATATATATATATATATATATATAATATATATATATATATATATATATATATATATATATATAAACTATATATATATATATATATATATATATATATATATATATTTTCATTAGAAATAAATAAGTTTCTGTTCATATATTTCTTCGATTCACTTGCTGTAATCCCCATTAGAAACCACAAAAAAGTTACAGCAATTGTATTATCACTTTCATGTGAAATTCTTCGACATGCTTACTGAAATTAGCGATCTTAGTTGAATTCTGTAATCGAGAAGAAACATAAAAAAAATTTCATTCACAGTTTCATCTACGTCCAACGGAAATGTTAGCTGTATTACAATCTGCAAAAAAGAAATTAGGACGTACTTTCTCTAAAAACAGAACATTACTGTAAATTAAATAATTTTAGTGAAAATTTCGAACAAAATCAAGAAAAACTTACCTTATCATTTAGACCGTCATCGTTATCATCTAAAGCAGTAACTTCGGTTACCGGTATCCTCAAGTGACCTGCTTCAGCCTGATTGATTAATGTATAGGTACTCCAAACACGATAATTTTCTTCTTGCGCACCGTTAAGAATAACAAAAAAACGATTTTTAAAATTAATTATTGGTTGTTCACTATATTCGCCATATTTCTTCCAAAAACCCTTAAAAGGCAAATATCGATCACGGTTAACGCTGATCAATCAGTTTACTATACTGCAGTCATTTATTTGGCGTTTAAATATCCCAAAATTTTATCCGAAACTATAAATATTGAATTAGTAAGCAAAAAAAATAGAACGTCAACAAGCTTACCGTTGAAGCTTTTTTTTTAAAACAATACTTTGTGGAGTAAAAATAACAGAAGCTAAAATAAATGTGGGTTATCTTAATGGAGAAGTTGAAAGTGAGGTACCTGAGTAAAAAATGCAATGATTAATGATACAACAATCGAAGAAGCTACACAAAAAGCTTTGCAACAATATGCACTCGAAAATCGAGACGATTTATACTTTATCGTATGTGCCTTAAAAAAAAATAATTATGATTATTTTCAGTGCTTTTCAAAATTTTTGCTTAATATTTAAATGCAAGCATTTTAGGTGCTTCAGCAACAGTCATCATTCAAGCAAAATTAAGCAGAAATAATCACGACGACAACGAACATTGGCACAATGAAGCTGTATAACTAGCCAGTATTTTATTTTTTTTGTGTATATGTTCGTTTAATATCATGAGAAAATTTTACCAACCTTTTCATAAAGCACCACTTGTTTCATCAAATGACCTTTGCAAATACTTCTTTGAAATGTAGATTCCGGCAGTAATCACGGTTATCCAATGAATTGTCACCAACAGACGTAAAATAATGCTTATAAAAAGTAACCGTTGTTTTGGGCTCAAGACCATCAACGAATCAGATTTAGTTCACAGAATGTTTCACCCATCTGTTCAACCCGTCACCTTCAAACGTCCGTCGTTGCAACGGCCAACTAACCGTAACCATAGAAACAGAAATGCCAAACAAATTATTTAATCTACACTTTCCACTCTTTCTCCCCTCCATAAGATTATTTCTGTTAATTACTCAAACACTTTTTTGATGACATCTTTTTTCCGTCATCCAACTTCTGTATTCCCAAAATAAAGAAAAATCCATCTCCTGGATTTACTGCGATAATGTTTACTATCCGAGTAAATAAAGTAAAAGATGAACAAATTCTTGGAAAACGTCAAGTTTCTACAGTAGTTGTGCGTACAAGTTTACAGCTGTAAATGCTGTTCGGTAAAACGTAAACCTTTGAACAGAAGTCACTGAGTAAAGGAATTTCTCGAGTATCAACAAAAGATAATGCATTTTTTCACTTATTCACAACGTACATTTTCATCTCTAACGATTAATCGGCAGTTATTATGTGCAGTACTGGCAGAAAAATGAACACCATTTATTTTTGGAAAAATGGTATCTAAGTGAGACTTACGAAAGGTTTCGCGTTTTAAACATTTTGTTGAATAAACAATAATGTGTGACTTTAATGCAATTTTCACATTTTGAATACATGAAAAACCTGAGCGATTCTAAAACTTCGATTTGAATATGAAAAGAATAAATCAATAAAAACGAGGAAAAAAAAACCAATAATATTTATGACAAAATCTCAAAACAATATTTTTCCAACAAGAAAAAAGTGAATTTTGACCGGTTTTATGAAATATATATCAAAATATCAGAATTAGTGAGTCAAATCAGAAACAATTAAGAGATCAAGTAGAAATTCAAATTTGAAAATTTTTAACGGAATCACAAGAAATGCGCAGACTTTAAATTACTCGCAGGAAAAATTGTCCTACCAACTGAAATAAGTCATTTGAAGATTTCTTCAGTACTTTTG